TGAGGGATTACCTGAATTGATTCCCTGGTAGCTGTCAAGGTGGAGGGAAAGACTACTCTGCCACAAGCTAGGAGCTCTTAGCTGAGCGGGAGCATAAGCACCCCATTAAAGGTTTCATTCAATAGCAATCTTTACTAAAGTAAATGGACAACAGCAACCCCCCTGCCCCCAGTCCCTAATGCAAGAGCCATTATGGAGCAGGAAGGCAGCACACAGGAATGTGTATTTCTGTAGTATCAGTTTCACCAATAGACTCCTCTAATGAAAAGTGGATTTGGTTTTCAATTTTATTTTTTTTTTTTGTCAGGGATGTGAAAACCCCCATGAAACAACCCAAGGGGAATCTGCTCTTTTTCTTGAGCCTCCTCCCAGAGCTTGATGTGCGGCTGTTTCCCACTGATGTAGCCATCAGTGAGCAGTGAGTGGGAGCATACAGTGGCAGCATCCTGCTCCTGCTGCTGCTGGGGATGGGCAAGACAGGAGCAGAAGTGCTGGAGATGGCAGCACTGAAGGATGCTGGAGGCATTGGGGTCTTTCCCTTCCATGAGCCATGTGCAGTGCTGGAAGATAGACAGTCTGGCCCCTGGAGGGCAGAATTTTACTTCTCTGGTATGTCTGGAGCTGCCTTCTTGGAAGCTTCTTACGCTGGCAGCAAAAGAAGGCTTCACACCATGGCTCTGAGGGCTGCAGGGCCCAAACAGGCCCCTGCCCCATTGTAACAAGGCTGATTCAGAAGTTTACTGGTCAGAACAAGTTTTTGTCTCTCACCTTTGGAGAACATCCAGTCAAGAGTAGTATGAAACCTTGTATGGATATTAGATATTAATATATTTATCAGAGTATGCTTCTATTTAACCCACGCCTCCTGTTATAACACTTTTTTTTTTAGTTTCAGAGCTGGAGAGATCACACATACAGTTAGTGTGATACACACAAAACAAAATTCAGCATGAAAAAACGCACCATCAAAAGGGAAAATTCCTGGATAAGAGACATTTGATTATTTGTTCAAACATCTGGGTTCTTTACTCATCCCCCCACCCCCCTCCAGGCCCCTTCCCAAGGGTGTCCTCAGCCTTGTTTTGGAGATTTGAGAAACAAGGGATGGAGAGGGACCCCTTCAAATACACTGGTTTTTTGAGTTTCTTTCCATCAAAGAGAGAGCTCAAATGCCAGATCTGCAGGCAGGGAGACAACCTCAGAGAAAATCAGTCTGATCTTACCTCCTTGTGGGGAAGGTCCCTGAATTTAGGGCTTNCAGGGAGGTGGTTAACCAGTGAAGGAAGGTGAAAAGCAGCAAGGAGCTTAGTGAATTGAAGACAATGCCACAAACAAATATAGGTCAGTGCCAAACTGTCCATTAAACAAGACAGATCATACACCACCAGAGGAGACCTGACTGGCTGTCGCCTTCTTAAGAAAGCCATTCCTTGGGTCCCCAGTCTCCTACAGGCCTTCACAGCAAGTGCAGGTGTTTGTTTCAACCCTACAGACACAGTCACCAGCACTTTGATTTCCCTTTCCTGATACACATGCCCTTGCACACTCTCCCTTCTGTCTCTCCTTAACACACTTAGTGAAGGACCTTGGGCACATGAGCACTGTGAGGCTCTGTCTTTGCTCTCTTTTTTTGTTCTTTTTCAATCTTAGGTAAAATATGTCCAGACTTCCAG